GGCTAGACCAGAGGATGTACACTGGTACAGATAAGAGCTTGAAACACAGGGAATCCAGGACAGATAAACCCCTCAGGACCAATAATGAGAGTAGCCATACCAGGAGGGTAAAGGGGGAGGTGGGGGGAGAAAGAGGGAACCGATCACAATGATCTACCTATAAGCCCCTCCCAAGGGGACAGACAGCAGAAAAGTGGGTGAAGGGAGACTGCGGTCAGTGTAAGACATGGAAAGAAAAATGATTGAGGGTTCATGAGGGTCAGGGAGGGGAGAAATGAGCTGATCCCAAGAGCTCAAGTAGAAAGAAAATGTTTTGAAAATGATGATGGCCACAACTGTAGAAATGTCCTGGACACAATGGATGGATGGATGGATTGTGATCAGAGTTGTATGAGCCCCCAATAAAATGATTATATATTTTTTAAAAGGTGTTAAAGAGCAAGGATGTCACTTTGAGGACTAAGGTGCTCCTGACTGAAGCCATGGGACTTTCAATCACATCCTCTACACGTGAGAGTTGGCCAATGCATAAAGAAGGCTGCATGGGGTTGGTGCGTTTGAATTGCCGCCCTCGCGAAGAATATTGACAATCCTGTGGACCACCAGAAGGACAGACAAATCCATCTCTGAAGAATTACAACCAGAACACTTCTTAGAAGCAAGGCTAGCCAGGCTTGGTCTCATGCGCTTTGGAGTGTGATCGGAAGAAACCCGTCCCTGGAAAAGGGCCGCACGCTAGGTAAAGAGGAGAGTTATCAGAAAAGGGAAAGGCCTTCAGCGGGATGGGTGGACACAGCCAGGGGCTAGGGCAGAACAATGATTGTGAGGATGGAGCAGGAGGGGGCAGGTTTTGTTCTGTATAAGGTTGCTATGGATCAGAGTCGATTCAAAGGCACCTGAGATCAACCACTGGCCTGTGGAGTTGGTACATGCCATTTTACAGACAAGGAAGTTGAATAAGTTACCTGTGCAATACCACGCAGCTACTAAGGGGCAGAGCTTAGAAAACCAAGATGCTCAGAGGGAGAGACTCAAGAAAGATGGGGTGGAAAGTGGGGTGGGTGGAAGATAGCGAATGAAAGGGGATTTCTCGAGTAATGAAGACCGGAGGGGGGAGGGAGCACTAGGACGGATTGTGACTGCATAAATCTTTAAAGGTGATTTAACCATAGGGGAGGGGGAAAGCTCTGAACTTGATGTGTGGGTGATTGTACAATTCTCCGTGATATGATTGAACTATTGAATTATATGATATGTAAGTTACTTGCCAATAAAACGGTTGAGGGCGGGGGTAAGGAAAGAAAACAGGAATCTAACCCTCAGAGAGATAAGGAGACCACAAAGGGACTTTATGTCCTAGGGTCAGGATCAAGGTCAGGATCACCCAGCCAGGGGAGGAACCCAGTTGCACCGAGTGGAGATGAGGTGTTGAAGAGATGGAGGCGTGTCTGGGGCACAGATCCGGGTTCTTTGTGTCTAGGGAACTGTGGGACCCAGAGGGCGTCTCACCTTGTTGGTGCCAGGGCAGGTACCAGGGGCAGGAGGCGCGCGCGGTGGCGTTGGGCGCAGCGTAGTCCCAGCAAGCATACATATCGAAGGACCCGTTACAGGCGAGGCCTGTTGGATGGACGTGGTGGGCAGGCAACAGCGGGCCCACTCAGCCTTTCCCTCCTAAGCCACACCTTAGCCCCGCACCTGCAGCCAGTCTGGGCCCAGCGCGGCAAAAGGTTCCGCCCACCACCTCATTAATGCAGACCCCGCCCCGGACTCCTCCCATTTCAAGCCCTGTGGTCCTCGTCCCGATCCCACCCCTGCTTCACTCATACCTGTATTCCTGTATTCCGGTCTAGGGTCCTCCACCACCCAGGTCTCTTTCCAGCCTTGCTCCAGGCCCCTCCCAGCGACCCGCTCTAAGTCCCGCCCTACCAGCCTCAGCCCCACCTCCGTGCCCCCAGCAGCCTCTTCACACCTATTGGGGGTGCTGCAGCCTCCAGCGCCTCCAGGCACTCCTGGCGGTACCGTTCCCAGCGTTGGTACAGCTCCCCCGTTGTCTGGCCCTCGGAGCCAGTCTAGGAATGGAGAGAGAGGAGGAGCCCCCCCCCACCTGGAGCGACTCCTCCCAGGCAGCCTGCAAGCCAGGAAGCCCAGAGGAGCAGCCCGTGGTGGCAGGGGTGCAGAGGCTCCGGGTGCGCCTGCAGTGCCCTGGCACTGGGCGTTATGCGTGAATAAGGGTGAACCCCAATGTAAAGTATGGGTTTTCCTTCGGAATTCTTTATTCTCAAGATGGGTTTATCAATTATACTAGACCACAGGAATGTTAGCTGTTCATTGCAGCAGGGGGCGGGACTATGGGAACCTGTCTACTTTGGGCAAGATCAAAGAGCCGGCTAAGAGCTTTGTTGGCGTAGTGGGTTATTCTTTCTGTCGGTAACTTCAAAGCCAGCAGTTCGAAGCCAAGAGCCGCACTGCGGGAGACACTTGAGGATTTCTGCTCCCGTAAAGAGTTGCAGTCTCTGAAACTCACAGGGGCAGTGCTACCCTGTCCAGTAGGGTCACTGGAGGACTCGATGACGACGGGGGCTGGGGGGGGACAAGAGGGGCGGAAGTAAAGGCCTATATTGGGGGCATTGTGATCCGTAGGAATTGTTGAATGGGAAACGAATTTGCACAATCAAACAGTTTTATAAGAAATGAAAAGAAAAGTCCGCTAAGACAAATTGAATGGTATCATTGACTGGGGATGTCTTTGACGGGGGTGTGTAGAAACCACCTAAGAAGCTGCTGGGGCTGGGTTGGGCGGGGGAGGGGGG